CATGTGATATTAACTTATCAATGTGATTAAAAGTGGATCAGTGTTCACATCACTTCCTGAAATATTTCCACTGCATCAGTCTGATTAAAAAAGTTAAAAGCGAGATGTGTCTGAGGTGTTTGGGTGCAGACATCACTTCTAGTGTGTCATGACAGCGGTAATATTTTTTGAGCTTTCCAGTGTTTTATTTGACTGAAACTACGTAGCCGTTTTTTCTGGTGATTGTCCGTACTGTAAATTCATTCTTTCTCCTTCCTAAAATTTGTATTTATTCCCCTTAATCCTTTTCTCAGACAAAGGGAATCAGAAGCTGTTTCACTCTAAAAAGCCATCAGGCCAACCTGGGATGTGTAATATTGGGCTACATAATTAAAGCTGACCTGACGGGACAGTGAACATCTGGACTGAAAAAAAGGAGTTCTGTTTTCACAGATGTTCCGAAGCTTTTCATGAATGAAATGAGCCCGGCTTTGGTTCACATTCCATCAGAACACATTGACCTGAAGGTGAACGTTCCCGCCTGCTGTGCTGCTGAGCGCCTTCAGAGAACAGTGATCCTCCTGATGATCCTGATTGGCTCACTAATCACTTCCTGTCTTTTCTGTTCTGCTGTGTTCGCGTAGAAGAAGTCAGATTATGGTTGGTGTTGTAGATGGAGGCTCCAGTTTCCGCGACAACGCAGTGAGGATGAGGTTGAATTTGTTGTAGCGATCTGATTGGTTGACCGTAGCTCCGCGACTTCCCCAGAGCAGTCGCAGCTGAAAGTCTGTCTTAAACACTTCGAGCAGATCGTCGTCACACTGAAACCCTAAAGAACAAACACACAGGTGGATTTTATTTATTCATTTGTTTTTAAAGGAACACGTGACGCCCGTTTTTGGTAGAATTTGGTGGACTCTTCTGGTGTTTACCTTGTAAGATCTTCTGTGCATTGGCAGTGTAGCCGTGCGCATTGCGTGCAACGTTGCGTGCAGCCTCCAGGTGGCGCAGCATGATGTCACAGCCCTGGTCGCTGGTCTCCCAGAGCTCCACCCCGTCAGGTGCAATTGAAGGACGCTCCATCAGTGTGAGGAGTGGCAGGGGGAGGGGCACACAGACCACCGGAGGAGAGGAGGCTGCAGCAGAGTGAGGTTAGTAGAGTTTATGAGCGCCATAAAAAACGTAAACACTGACTTTTGCTTTTTTTAAACTGTAAATATAGAAAAAATAATAATGCAATGTTCATCCTTACTGGCTGAATTTGAACAAAAGGGTTTTTTAAATGTTTTTTAAACATAGCAACAGTAACCCTTTTATAAGACAATGCTGAAGATCTACTTATCCCATGTATTTTATTAAAAAGACGAAACGAAATATACTCAATTTATTTGATGATGTTTCATTTATGAACAATAGGATATATATATATTTTAAATTACAGTAATGCTATCATCCAAATTCTCACATTCACCAGCAACTGTATCAGGCACACCTGTTCAACTGCTCCTTTACACAAATGTCTAATCAGCCAATCACATGGCAGCAACTTGATGCATTTAGTCACGTAGACGTGGTCAAGGCGACCTGCTGAAGTTTAATTTGAGCTTTAAAATGGGGAAGCAAGGTTATTTAAGTGACTTCAAACACGGCATGTTTGTTCTTATAATATATAAATTTTGTTCTTTTCGATATAGTCATACATGCTACGATCAACTTGGCAACCGGGCCTTCCTCTACCTACCCTGTGTGTCCATGCAGAACATGGTTGCTGGCCAAAGAAAAGTGAAAAGATTTAGGGGCAAAACTAAGAGAGAAAAATAAAAATAAAGCAAAAACATATGCAACAAAATGTGTCAAATTAGCCGACACGTTAGTTATCGGGCTGCTGCTGCTGTACCGTTAACAGTAGCATCAACAACAACCCTCACAGTCACAGGAGGCTGCTGTTGCTAGCAGAGAGTGAGGTGGGCTGCCTGGAGCAAAAATGCCGTGGCAATCTTTTGTCCCAGTCCAGACCTGGTTATCATCTTACTTTCACCAGGAAAAACAAAGGTTGTTGATGAAAACTATGAAGTCAGTCATGTGGTGTCTGGATTCTAAGT